GGTTCAGATCTGGTTCAGTTTATGGTTCAAAAAATGATCATTGAAAATATGATTTTCTAAAATAGGGAATGCGATTCCCAGTTGAAGGGAGAGAAAAATTTTTGAAATTCGCCCCCTTATTCCGCAATCTTTGGGCGTCCATACGATGGATCTCTCATCCCTTCACATATAGAGTAGTAGAATATGTGTACCATCATGATGATAAACGAACAAAGATGGATCCGATGAGGTGTGAAAACCCAGTTCAACAACAATATAGTGGAATTTGTCATACTAGGCCTATGGGGGCTTGGCGGAGCCCATAAATTGACTTGTGCATGCGGCAAACATGATCTGGATGGGTGGGGTCCACATAGCCAAGAGGTTGGGCCATATACACATCTTCGTGAAGGTTACCGTGCAAGAATGCACATTCGACATCCAGTTGGTGGAGTGGCCAACCTAAGGTAACTGCCAATGAGAGGACAACCCGAACAGTGGTGTGCTTCACTACCGGGCTAAAGGTTTCAATAAAATCTATGCCAGGTTGCTGATGGAAGCCTTTAGCGGCAAGGCGGGCTTTGAACCTTTGTATAGATCCATTTGGATTCCTCTTAATACGGTATACCCATTTGCAACCTACGACATTCATACCAGGTTGGTAAGGGACCAACGACCATGCCTTCTGCTCCCGAAGTGAGTTAAACTCTTGGTTCATGGAGGTACACCACTCAGAGTGTTTGGACGCTTGGGTGTAGGTGGTCAGTTCAGTGAGGTGAGAGGTAGTAACGGACAAGGGGAGGGGGTACTTAGTGTTGTATGCTTTGGGTTTGAAGATTCCATATTGGGATCGTGTGACCATGGGATGTGTGTGCTAAGGTTCTGTTGGAAGAGAAGGTGGTGGTGGGCCTGTTGGTGGGCCAAGAGTTGTGGGGTGTGGTGGCGGTTCAGGTGGGCTGGAGGTGTGGTTTCAAGTGAGGTAGTGGGTGAGCCCATGGGGAGTGAGGGTGAGTGGGCTATAATGTTGGGCCGTGGGGGCTCGTTTGTGGTGGGGCTGAGAGCTTCTATGAGAGATGACGAACCCAGAGGAATCAACACTAAGGAGGAGCCAGAGGACGTGTGGGGAGGTGATGGGGATGACGTTGTGGGCCAGACGACACCGGTAGGCCCATGGATGTTTGGGAGCCAAGAAGAGATGGTGGGTAGCTGGAACTGATTGTGGGTCTTTCTGGGTTGAGGGGATAGAAGGGTATGTGTGTTCGTCAAAGACAACATGGTGTGAGATGTAAACTCACCCAGATTGAATGTCGATACACCGATAGCCCTTGTGGCATGGGCTGTAGCCTAGAAAAATGCAACGTGAAGAGCGATAATGCAGTTTGTGTGGGGAGTATGGACGTTACCAAGGGAAGCAAAGGTAGCCAAAAGACTTGAGATGGGTGTAGTCTGGACGAGAGTGGAACAACCGTTCAAATGGTGACTTATTCTAGCAGGGGCATTTGATTGATGAGATAGAGGGTGGTGGTGAAGGCTTCGACCCAACATTGTGATGGTAAAAAAGCATGAGCAAGGAGGGTGAGACCCGTTTCAACAGTGTGGTGATGTTTGCGTTCAACCACACCATGTTGTTTGGGTGTGTGAGGGCAAGAGAACTGATGGGTAATGCCGTGAGTGTTAAGGAAGGAGGAGAATTTTGTGCTTGAGAACTCTCCTCCCCTATTTGTACGCAATAACTTGATTTTAGAGTCAAAGAGATTTTCAACTTTGGCCTTGAAGGATACAAAAATATATAGAAATTTGATTTCAAACGTAAGGGAAATAGCCAAGAGTAGCAACTACAATCATCAACAAATAGGACATAGTATTTAAATTTGGAAATAAATAAAATCGGGGCTGGTCCCCATAAATCACAATGCAAAAGCTCTAGCAGTTTACTGGAATGGTGATGCATAGTTGAAAATGGGAGACGACAACTTTTTCCAAATTGACATGACGAACACACACTAGTACTATTTTTATTTTTAAGGGATAACTGTGAAAAAATAGCAGCTTGGATATCACGAGATGGATGGCCTAAGCGATGATGCCAGATAGTCTCAGTGGGGCTACCGGCGGTGAGAGCTATGGGGTTGCTAGATTCGGAGATGGGATGAAATGGGTAAAGTCCTCCTTTAGTCGGTCCTTGGTACAGGATCCTCCTGATCACCCTGTCCTGCACAACGAAGCCAGAAGCATCAAAAGTAAATTTGCAGTTATTGTCCTTTGAAAATTGATAAACTGAAAGTAAATTAGAAGAAGCATCAGGACAATGAAGAACACGATTTAGGAGCAAAGTGGATGATGGGGAGGTTAGGGTGGAGATGCCAGTATGTTTAATATCCAAGCTATGTCCATTACCCACTGTGACCAAATTTGAACCATCATATGGGAGTGGGTAAGATACTTTACCAGGATCTGGAGTGATGTGGTGAGATGCTCTGATATTAGAGTACCATGTGCCATCATCAAGAAGATCACGGGATGCAGTTTCCATCGCCACTAATTTCTTCGGTGGATGTCTACCTTGATAGGTGAGATTCAGCCTCTGGAAGTAGTCAATTGCGATGTGTCCAATTTTGTTGCATATTTGGCAAGTGGGTTTGGAGTCATTGTTGGTTGGATGCGAAGACAAAGCAGTGTGGTTGCGCCCTTGATTGGACTGTGAAGATTGTGAGGCCGGTGCACTTTGCTGTTGTTGGCATTTGTTCTCATTCTGCTGAGTATACTGACGATTGGATGAGTTTGGATGGCGGGAATACTGCTGTCGTGTCTTGGCTGCTGCAAATGCTTGGGAGTTCTCTGTAGGAAGATCCTCTGCTAGTGACATTTCTTCACAAATGAGCAAGTCATGAAGTTCTTCAAGAGTGACTGCTGCAATTCGAGCATGACCACGAATAGTGGAAGCAAATGGGCGATAAGATGGTGGGTATAGATCTGTAGTTCA